CATGACTTGAGCCGAAGGCAGACACTTAACAACTGAGCCACCCAGGCGCCCCGACAAAGAGAGAATCTTGAAAGCAGCAAGAGGGAAGCAAATTGTCAAATACAAGAGATCCTCAATAAGTTTATCAGCATATTTCTCATCAGAAACTTCAGAGGCCATGGGGCGCCTGGGTGGCTCAGTCATTAAGCATCTGTCTTCGGCTTGGGTCATGATCTCAGGGTCCTGGGATCGAGCCCCACATCGGGCGCCCTGCTCAGCGGGAAGCCTGTTTCTCCCTCTCCCACTCCCCCTGCTTGTGTTCCCTTTCTCACCGTGTCTCTCTCTGTCAAATAAATAAATAAAATCTTTAAATAAATAAATAAATAAATAAATAAATAAATAAATAAATAAATAATTTAAAAAAGAAAGAAACTTTGGAGGCCAGAAGACAATGGCTGATATATTCAAGGTGCTAAAAGAAAAAACCTGTCAGCCAAGAATTCTATATCCAGTGAACCAGTCCTTCAAAAGTGCCAATCAAGACATTCTCAGATAAACAAAAGCTGAGGGAGTTCATGACCACTGACTTGTCCTTCAAGGAATGCTCAAAGGAGTACTCCAAGGTGAAGGTAAAGGACACTAGACATTAACTCAAATCTGTATGGAGTGATAAAGATCTCAATAAAGGTAAAAAATTGGGCAATTATAAAAGCTACCAATTTTGTAACAGTGGTTTGTAACTAACACTTTTCCACATGATTTAAGAGACTAATATATTTAGGGGCACCTGGGTGGTTCGGTCAGTTAAGCATCTGCCTTCAGCTCAGGTCATGATCCCAGGGTCCTGGGATTGTGCTGTGCGTCGGGCTCCCCATTCGGCAGGAAGTCTGCTTCTCCCACTCCCTCTATCTCTTTCCCCTGTTTGTGCTCTCTCTCCTTCACTCTGTCTCACTCTCTCTCTCGAGTAAATAATTTTTAAAAAGAGAGACTAATATATTTAAATTAGAAAAAACAATTATTAGTGTAAGAGCTAATTAGTGTAACTTTGGTTTAAAACTCCAAAACTTGTTTTCTACATAATTTAAGAGACTAATGCATTTAAAAGAATTATTAGCTTGTGTTTTGGGGCACACAATGTATAAAGATGTAACTTTTGTGATATCAACAACCGAAAGGGGTGGTAACATAGCTATAAAGGAACAGAGTTTTGTGTGTTATTGTAGTTAAGCTGGTATAAATTCAAATTAGAGTGTTATAACCCTAGGACATTAAATGCAATCCCTGTGGTAACCACAAGTTATAGACTATACACAAGCTATAGAAAATATACAAAAGGAAAGGAGAAAGAAATTTAAATATTTCACTACAAAAAAAACCCCACTAAACATAAGAAAGTAATGCAGAAAATGAAGGATCAAAAAAAGCTATAAGGCATGTAGAAAACAAAGAGCAAAATGACAACAGTCCCTTCTTATCAGTAATTACTTTAGATGTAAATGGATTAAACTCTCCAATCAAGAGACAGAGATTAGCAGAATGGATAAAAACTCTTGGTCCAACTATATATGTCTGCAAGAAACTTGAACTACAAAGAGGCAAACAGGTTGAAAGTGGTTGCCAAAGGCTTGGGGAGGAAATGGAGATCTGTTATTGAGTGACCATAGAATTCCAGTTTTACAAGATGAAAAGAGTTACGGAGATGGATGGTGGTAATGGTTGCCCAGTAATGTGAACATACACGTAGGGTAATGCAGGCTGCTGCCCAGGAAAGTGGAGTCTATCATGGAAGCCCCATTCAGTCAAGAAATGGATGTCACATATGAATTCAGACCAGAAGGTGACATCAGCACCAGCACAGGGTGACACAGTTATGTGGTGCTTCCGTTCCAGGTGAACTGAAGAGTGCAGGAGGCCCAGAAAGCTTGGAGGAGGCAGAGATAAGTGTGGGAAGGACTAAAGTCCAGGGGGGAATATTTGAAGGCAGAGGTCAAAGTGCCACTCATCACAATTGGGGGTTTCTCTTTATAAAAAAGAATAAAGGGCGCCTGGGTGGCTCAGTTGGTTAAGCGACTGCTTTCGGCTCAGGTCATGATCCTGGAGTCCCAGGATCGCGTCCCGCATTGGGCTCTCCGCTCAGCAGGGAGTCTGCTTCTCCCTCTGACCCTTCCCCCTCTCATGTGCTCTCTCTCTCTCAAATAAATAAATAAAATTTAAAAAAGAATAAAAATTATGACTATAAAATTAGATACAGCAATGCCTAAGGCCTTGGAGTTTTTGCAGAGGGGAACTCCATAAATCCTCCTCTTCCTGGGAGGCCCAAGACTCAGGAGGCCTCGGGGGGTTGCAAAGTGGAAAGGTAGTTGGCAAACTCACCTATGCCAGACCCTCTGGGAGCTCCTTGAGGCTCTGTGCCTCTCACATATCATGAGTGAACACATTTTTATCCAGAGCCATTGAAGGAATTGCAAACAAGAGGCATTGTGAATACTCACCAAGCAGTGCTAGCTAAGTTCCAGACATGCACCTGGACTCACCGAAATTTGGGGGACACCTTATATTGCTCTGGCCTCAGAGGGTGTGTGGTCAAGCTGGGGATGTGAGCAAAGGAAGGAAAACATAAATCAGCAAGATGAGGTGGCACCCAGAGCCGACAGCAGCCCCACAGAGGAGGCTCAGGGGAAGGAGTCCACAGGGAGCTGGGCCATTCTTGGGATCCTCCACTTTGATTTCTTAACACCTTTGACCAGTTGCACGATATTAAAGTGTTTGTTTTCAGAAAGGTTTGTTCTTGTTTTTCAGAAGAGTCTCCCTGGGTGCCTGGGTGGCTCAGATGGTTAAGCGTCTGCCTTCGGCTCAGGTCATGATCCCAGGGTCCTGGGATCGAGTCCCACATCAGGCTCCCTGCTCCTTGGGAGCCTGCTTCTCCCTCTGCCTCTCTCTCTCTCTCTCTCTCTCTCTCATGAATAAATAAATTTTAAAAAATCTTTAAAAAAAAAAAAAAAAAGAAGAGTCTCCCTGGGACTGGAGCTATGTGGTCAAGCACCAGTGTTGGCCAAGACGCTGGAAACAAGGCATAAGATGCCAAGGACACAGATGTGAACGGACCCCCATTGCAAGGGGTCACCAGGCTCTTGGGGAGATGGATCTCAACCCAACATCAGGTTCCCTGATTCCTCCCCATCCACGCTTTCAATTTCTTCTCCCTCTCCTACACAAACTTCTTTCTATTCCAGCCAATAGGCTTCTTTGTCTCGGGTTCTCCTACCTTCCGGCCTTTGCCTGAACTTTTTCCCACACTAGGACTGCCCTGTCTGCCTCCCTTTCTCTTTCCCTCAGCCTGTGAAAATCCTACCCATTCTTCATGGCTTTGCTTCTTTCTCTCCTCCACCAGGAAGCCATGCGTGGTCAGGAAGCTGACCTCTCCCACTCTTGGAATGTAATGGTGCTTACTGCTGACATCGCTCCCATGGCACTTAATTATCATTTAGTGGCAGGTATTAGTTATCTGAATGCCTGCCCAGAAGGGGGAGGGGAAGGTGACACCTTGTGCACCCTGAGCTGGGGCAGTGGCCACTTTCCCCCTGGAACTAGCAGAGCCCCACCTGACTAACAGAGGAGATGGTCAATCTAAAACTGCTGGGGGAAACGCAAACCCAGGAAAATACAGGCTGGGACCGTCCTTCAAAAGCCAAGGTTTAAGGACAAAGTGTAAAGATAAGGTCAGGGGCAGGTCACTCCTTTTCTCCTCACGAGTGAGTCAAGCTTGCAGGAAAGTTTAGGACAAGTGTGCTCACCGTCCCCCTCCACCGCGTCATAACCTGAACTGTGGTAGCAGTTATCATGGATGGTGTCAGGTGATAAGAGTCAGGGTGCTGACCAGAGTAGTCTCTGAAGTCATGATAGGTGGGGGAGGGGCATCGATTTGCATGATGGCAGATGAAAAGCTGATACTTGGCTTTACAGTAAGTGGGAGCCAGTGACGGTTGGCATATTAGTCAGGAGAGCAGGCAATGCTGAGATAAACAATCCTAAAGACTCAGTGGCTGGCAACAGCAGACGTTTCTTTCTCACTCATGCTACTTGCCCATCCCAACATCTGTGCTGTTCATTCAGGGACCCAGGCTGACGGAGCAGCCCCTATCTGGGACACTGCCAGTCTCCTAGCAGTGGGAAATGACAGATGGCAAAACCATGAGCTGCCTCCTAAAGCCTCTTTCCAGACATGACGTCGCATACCTTCCACCCACATTCTGTTGGCTAAAGCAAATCGCAGGGTTGCCCTGAGTCTGATGGACAAGAACGTAAAATCCTTCATCGGGGAGAGGCACCACACATCTGATGCCAGGCCTGCTCTCAGTGGCGCGGGGAGATCTAATCCATCCCAGGGAGGGAAAGCAAACATACTGAACAATAACACAACCTACCACAGCTGGGATCCTGGCAGTAGCTATGGTTTATGCTAATCAAGCCCCATCAGTGAGGCGCCTGGATGGCTCAGTCGGTTAAGCATCCCACTCTTGATTTCGGCTCGCGTTGTGATCTCAGGGTCGTGAGACCGAGCCCTGGCTTGGGCCCTGCACTGGGCGTGGAGCCTGCTTAAGATTCTCCATCTCTCTCCCTCTCCCTCTCCCTAGGCCCCTCCCCCCACCTCTGTCCTCTTTAAAAAAAAAAAAAATTTTTTTAAAGAGCCATCAGTGACATTGGCAGACAGGATCAGACCCCTGGTGGGTCTTTCCTTTCCTTTTCTTTTTTTGGTAAGATGTTATTCATTCGAGAGAGAGAGAGAACGAGCATGAGAGCGAGAGAGAAAGAAAGAAGAATACGAGTCGGGGGAGTGTAGGAGGGAGAGTAGGAGAAGTAGGCTCCTGCTGAGCAGAGAGGAAAGTCCTATAATAGAGAAACTAAACACTGCAGTTCTGTTTGAAAAGTGGGGAGAGGGAGGGTCCCCCCGGAACTGAGGAGATTTGACAAAGTGCTCATGGAAGCACAGGAAGTGAATACTATCAGTGGGAAGGAGTTACTTTCAATATTGGGTCCTGTGCCAACACAGGAAATGGTGTGAGAAGCAGAGATGGTAGCACCTGGTGACATTTCTGGGCACTTCATAGAAGAGATAAGACAGTGATGGAGGGGCGCCTGGGTGGCTCAGTCGTTAAGCGTCTGCCTTCGGCTCAGGTCATGATCCCGGGTTCCTGGGATCGAGCCCCGCATTGGGCTCCCTGCTCGGCGGGAAGCCTGCTTCTCCCTCTCCCACTCCCCCTGCTTGTGTTCCCTCTCTCGCTGTCTCTCTCTCTCTGTCAAATAAATAAATAAAATCTTTAAAAAAAAAAAAAGCGATGGAAAGAATTTTAGAACTGGTGGGAGCTCGTAGAACACTGATCTTTCACATCTTAAAGTGGGGTAATATTGAGGATAACAATCAATTCACAGAAGAATATATACAGTTTGACTCCAAAAGGCTAATCTAAACAATATTTTGATTAGGACTCCACACATGTAGAGCAATGCTCTGAAGAAAATAAAAGTAATCATTAATACAAAATTCAGGAGAGAGTTATGGTGGAGGAAAGAGGTGTATGCAATCGGTGAGAATCATCTAGGGAGTTCTTAAAGGGTGTGATGTTCAATTTCCGAGGCTGGATAGTGGGTACATGGATGTTCTTTTATCATTGTTCTTTAATTGTGTGTGTGTGTGTTTTCCACACATTCACATGAGTAATATATTACTCAATCAAAAATAACTTAAGGGATAGACAGTAACATAACACATTCAAAATAATCAAATAATCAATCAACTGAAGGCAAAAACAAGACAGAGATGCTCATTGAGAGTTTTAGCTAATGTAATGAGACAAAAAATAAAAAGAAATACTGGGCATAAACAATAAAAAAAAGCTAAATGACCCGATTTTGGCTAATGAAATTGTTATGTAATTTCAAAATCCAAAAATGCTAGTGGGCAGGGGGAATACTATATTAATGAGAGACCTCGGGGCACCTGGCTGGCTCAGTCAGTAAAGTGTGTGACTCTTGGTCTTGGAGTTGTGAGTTTGAGCCCCACATTGAGCACAGAGATTACTTCAAAATAAAATCTTTAAAAAAGATGAGAGACCTTGGGGCACCTGGGTGGCTCAGTCGCTAAGCATCTGCCTTCGGCTCAGGTCATGATCCCAGAGTCCTGGGGTCAAGCCCCACATCAGGCAGGAAGCCTGCTTCCCCCTCTCCCACTCCCCCTGCGTTCTCTCTCTGTCAAATAAATAAAATAAAATCTTAAAAAGAAAGATGAGAGACCTTGATAAGGTTTATATAAAATATAAAATATATATTTATATAAAATAAATAATTTTCTCCATTCTGTAAATAATCAGCTAGACATGGAAATTGGAAGAAATGTTCCATTCACAATAGAAACGCAAAATGGAAAACTATTTAGGAACAGATTTAACAATGAAGAACTCATGCAAGATTTTATTCAAAGGCATAAGGCAAGATCTAAACAAATGGAAAGGAAGTACCAAGATCTTGGGTATTAAGATTTTTACGGGGTACCTGGCTGGCTCAGTCAGTAGGGCCAGCAACTCTTGATCTCAGGGTTGCAGGTTCGAGCCTCATGTCGGGTGTAGAGATTACTTAAAAATAAAATAAATAAAAGATACTTACAATAAAAATATGTCGTCTCCCAAAATTAATGTATATATTTAATGCAATTTTGTTTTTTTAAAGATTTTATTTATTTATTTAAGAGAGAGAACATGAGCGGGGGGGAGGGGCAGATGGAGAGGGAGAAGCACATTCCCCGCTGAGCAAGGAGCCCATGCCCAACTCCACCCCACGAACCTGGGATCATGACCTGAGCCGAAAGCAGATGCTTAACAGACTGAGCCACCCAGGCGCCCCATTTAATGCAATTTTAACGAAGACACCAACAGGGTTGAATTTTCTTCATGGACACAATTACTTTAAAGTCCAGGTGGGTGAATAAATGTCTAAGGATACACTGGAAAATTGTGAAAAATAATTGTGAGGAGGCTTGCCTTGTCATATATTAAAATTTACTACAACAAAAAAACAAAAACAAAAAATTAAAACAAAACCCAAATCCACATTTTTTAAGTTTTTTAAAAGCATACCATAAAATGACTGCAATCGAACAGTATGATGTTATGATAAGAATGAGCAATAGACCCATGCATGAAACAGAATGGAAAAGTCTGAAATAAATCCAACCATTTTCACATACAACAAAGGTGAAATTTAATTCAGATGAAAAGATGGTTTATTTAGGGGCGCCTGGGTGGCTCACTCGTTAAGTATCTGCCTTCGGCTCAGGTCATGATCCCAGGGTCCTGGGATCAAGCCCCACATTGGGCTCCCCGCCCCGTGGGAGGCCTGCTTCTCCCTCTCCCACTCCCCCTGCTTGTGTTCCCTCTCTCGCTGTGTCTCTTCTGTCAAATAAATAAAATCTTAAAAAAAAATCTTTAAAAAAATTTTTAAAAAGGTGGTTTATTTAATAATGCAACTGAATATCCACATAGCAGAAAATAAAATTAGATCTTTATCTTACAACATTAAATTTTAAGGCAAACTCAATCAAAAACATAAGAAAAAAACTCTCTAGAGAAAAATCTAGGAGGCTCTTCATATAACTTTGGAGCTGAGGAAATTATTTTAATCAAAATGAGAAACCCAAAAAGTACAAAAGTAAAATTCCACATTTCTACTACATAAAAAAAGCAACAATAGAAAGTAGAAAAAGAATAGATTGGGGGAAATTTTTGCAATGTGGATGACAGATAATAGGTTAGTATCTGTAATATACAAAAGGCATTTATAAATTTATATTTAAAAAACACAAATCGGGGGACGCCTGGGTGGCTCAGTCAGTGTAAGCGTCTGCCTACACCTCGGGGCATGATCTCAGGGTCCTGGGATCGAGCCCCACGTTGGGCTCCCTGCTCAGCTGGGCATCTGCTTCTCTCTCTCACTCTCCCTCTGTGCCCCCCCAAATAAATAAATAAAATCTTTTTAAAAATAAAAATAAAAAAAAACAAATCGGGAGCACCTGGGTGTCTTGGTCAGTTAAGCGGCGGCGGACTCTTGATTTCAGCTCAGGTCATGATCTCAAGGTCCTGGGATGGAACCCCCTGCTGGCCTCCATGCTCAGTGGGGAGTCTGCTACATGATTCTCTCTCTCCCTCTCCCCACCCCTCGCCCCCCCCAGTGTCTCTCTCAAATAAATTAATCTTTTTAGAAAAGCACACAAATTGTTCAACCCTATCCTCATGGGCACTGTATATGTAATGTCTCCAAAGATGCTTTCAGTATCTTAACAGTATGCTTTTGTTGGTTATTTAAATGTTCTGTAGTATGTTTGTTTTGTTGCATTTTGTGATTAAGACATAATTGACATACAACATTATATTAATTTCAGGTGCACAACATAATGATTTGGTCTACGTATATACTGATGACGGGCAGGTGACTGGGCTGGAGAGGGAGAGGTTTCAATGGCTACACAGAAGGGACTGGACCCATACAAGCTGCTAGCCCCAAAGGCAGCTTTGGGCACCAAGGAAGACCCTAACTCAGTCCCCATCTCTCACCAACAAGTGAAAAGTAGGTTGCATCCGTAAGGAGGACAACACTGCCATTATCCGCTCTGGCTGCACAAAAGTGAGACCCAGCGATGCCCTAGCTATGGAACCCATGACAAGCTGGGGCCCCACCAGTTGCCCCACTGAGCCTTGGCACTAACTTACTCAAAACATGCGGTTTTAAGTTTCTTCTTTCCAGTAAAGACTAGCCATTGCATTGGCTGCTTTTCCCACAAAATAGATACATGGATATAGATCATAAAATGATTACCACAATAAGTGTAGTTAAAGTCCATCCCTACACCGAGCTGAACAAATTTCGTTCTTGTAATGAGAACTCTTAAGGTCTACTCTCTTAGCCACTTTCAAATATGAAGTACATCATTGTTAACCATAGACACATCTCCAGGACTTACTTATTTTGTAACCAGGAGTTTGTACCTTTTAACCCACTTTACTCACTTCACCCAGCGCCAGCCCCCACCTCTGGCAACCACCAATCTGTTCTCTGTATCAATGAGATCAGTTTTGTTTTGATGGTTTTTTTAGATGCCACATATAAGTGAGATCATATGGTACCTGTCTTTCTCTGTCTAAGTTATTTCACTTAGCATAATGGCCAGAAGGTTCAGGCGAGTTATTGCAAATGGCAGGATTTCCTTCCTTTCTATGACTGAATGGGGGTGTGTGTGTGGGGGGGTGTGTGACATTTTCCTTATCCATTCATCCATTAATGGACACAAGTTGTTTCCATGTCTTGGCTACTGTAAATACTGCTGCAGTGAACACGGGTTACAGATACCTTTTCAAGATAATGTTTACTGTTTCCTTTGATAAATCCCCAGAAGTGGGATTGCTGGACCATTGGCTGAGTAGCAGAGACCATAAGCAGCCACTCAGGTTTTACTTCCTAAGTTACAGTCTTGCTGCTTCCAAAGTTGGCTTTGGTTTGGTTTGGTTTGGTTTCTGGTTGGAAAGGTTACTCGGGTAAAGCACATGTTTTCTCCTAGCATTGTTCGTGGGGTACCTGGCTGGCTCAGTCCGTAGAGCATGCGACTCTTGATCACAGGGTTGTGGGTCCAAGCTCCACGTTGGGTGTAGATATTACTTAAAAAAATAAGATCTTTTTTCTTCTTTTTTTTAAGATTTTGTTTATTTATTTGGCAGAGGGAGGGAGCACAGGCAGAGGCAGAGGGAGAAGCAGGCTCCCCACTGAGCAGGGAGCCTGACACAAGGCTCGATCCCAGGACCCTGGGATCATGACCTAAGCCGAAGGCGGACGCTTAACCGACTGAGCCACTCAGGCTCCCCCTAAAAATAAGATCTTAAAAAAAAGAAGAAGAAGAAATTAACGTACAATTCACCTTTTGCCTTTGGAGGACCTCAGTTCTTGCTGAGTTTGAGGTTTGGTTTTCTTGGGTTTTTTTTTTTTTTTTTTATCCTGATATCTAGATCAACCTCCAACTCAAACCATGTTGGTAAATGCTTTTGCACCCAAATCTCTGGAATGTTTTAGAAAGCAAAACTGGTTTTTCCTTGTTGGTGATCTTAAAAAGTATGCTTAGGGTGCCTGGGTGGCTCAGATGGTTAAGCGT